CATTCATAAGCACTCAGAGAAACGCATTAACTTTCCATTGCTGTTGAGAGCAGATACAGATCAGACAGAAGACAATAAGAAAAAAGAAAACTTTCTTGTCTGCACTCATAAAAGCATATTGGGGCAAAAATGCATCCTTCTCATATGTCCTAAATAAGAAATCTACAACCAGGATAATCTCTTCAGATACTCTGAAAGATAAGCAGAAAGCTGGGGATTGTCTACACAGCCAAGAAGAATGCCAAGAGTTGGAATCATGTAATTGGAATGTTCCAAGCAGATTTGTTATAGATTCCCACCCAGGCAATGATCTGTGACAATAAGGCAGGATGTTCAACTGGGATGTCCAAAATTTGAAAGTTCTTGTTAAAGGGAGGGAACTTCATGAATTAGGAAGAAGTGCAGAAGAAAACTGTTACTGGGATTAGGTAAGCATTTGGCAAAAATCACAGCAATAAAACACATTTAGCCCACAGTCATGGTCAAAGTCTGGCTGCGATGTCCCAGGATTTATTTTTATTGAATGCCTGCACTGACAGACATGATTAGAAGTACTGTAAAAATCTGGTGTGCCTGAGGGTCAGGCACTTGTTATTCCATGGACACCCACTGCTTTTGGGATGGGGACACAGCAGAAGCCCATCTCTGTGTGGAACAAGGCAGTGAGCCAGGCCAAAGGAAAGCTCCATATTTCCACTTTCCAATGATCTCAAGTTTCAAGGCATGTCAGAAGGAGCGGGGCTAACACCTGCCCCACCTGAAGACTGAGCTTTTTGAGCCATATACAGATTCTAACCTCAGAGAGGTGAATCTGAAGACTGAAGTTCAAGTACACCAGACATTTGGGGTTGTCTGCTCTGTTCAGTGGAGGAGCTGTTTGCTTGCCCTGCCAGGCAGAGCACAGCTCCACTCCCTGGGACTTTGCACCATGTTGCATCAGGCTGGGATGAATTTCTGCCTTGCACTGGCTGTGTGAAACATCCAGCCTCAGACACAGGGATACAGGAATCCTTGGGTGTCCCCTGCATGCAGGGTACTCATGGACTCGTGCCCAGAGTGGTGTCAGCACAACCTTCTTCACTACAGTGCTCCACAACTTCCACACAGCCCAGAGCTCCACACAGCTGCCTTTGGCCTTGCACTCTACACAGGCTGAAGCACATCTGTGGCCTAAACATTTCCTCCACCTTTGTTTAGGAGTGAATCACCTGATGATTTCCCTGAGCTGACACCTAATGTTGGCTGGCACTGCTTGGGTGTGGCCTCATCGAAACACAGAGCTGGGAATTGGAATTCCTTGCACAGGCTTCCTTCCCACTTCTCACCAAACATTTTTCTCCTCTGAAAAGGAGGCAGCAGAGGCAGGACCCAGTGTGAACCTGTTGCTGCTCTCTTTTCATGAGCAGCAGGACACTCACTCCTCTCCCTCAATCCTGCAGGGCACTGAGCACTCCCTGCTCTCTCCATGGAAGGGCTAAAGAACAAGGACTGACACCAGCGGACTCACTGATCACATCCATGGAAAACAATGGCTCTGGGAGCAGGCTGGGCTCAGCAAGGCTCAGCCTAAGATGCTGCTTTGCCCTTCTGCCTAGAAACCTGCAGGAGTGCAGCAGGGCAAACCACAGAGCAACTTCCCCATCCACGCTCAAGATTTATATGGCTGGCTTTCCTCTTCTTAAATCTCCCCCAACAAAGCTTTGTTCAAAGATGATTCACAGATGTTGTCATTAAAAAGTTGGGACTTGCCAACAAATAACACATGGGCCTGCTTGAGAAACTGCTGTTCCCACAGCTTTCCCCAGGAAGAAATACTTGGGGTAATTGGTAAGGCCTGTGAGAACGGGACATTATAAAGCATCTTCCACCATCCGTAATTTTTGAAGAGAATTCTGGTTTCCTGAGAATTTATCTTGTTAATATAAAAATCACTTGGATAAACACACATGATAGAGAATAGATAATTAAGCCCATTATCATTAGTGTTGTTCTTTTCAGGTAATAGGGAATGGGTCAAACAAAGACTTATGTGCAACAAACACAAACAAAATCCCAGCACCAGCTAATAGACAGCCATGTGCCTTAATTACAGCCACAAAATACAATGATTAATTGACATGCAGGCATGAGTCTCAAAAAAAGGTGACAAACAAAAGGACAGGACTGTACTGTCCACTGCAGAATGAGCTGAACTACAGAGATTGGAAACCCCAATGAAAGAGAATAAAAAACAACAGAGGGAAAAGGGTGTTACAGTGACCTGGCTGGAATATACACATGGAATCACTTGTGTGCTCACCCACTCAGGACATGCTGAAATCTAAAACCCAGGAGCCCAGCCCTCTGTTAGCAGCTTGGAAAAGCAACGTGGGGAGTCAGCAGGGGACCCTGTCTAGGGAGATCTTTACAAATAGCTATGAACAGAAACATGTCATGATGGTAACCCATATATTGACAAAATTCTTGGTCATTTAACAGTAAAGAAAAGGATTTTTTTTTTCTTGGAGGTGGAAAGAAATCAGTATTTGGTAGGTTTTCAAAAACTAAAAGCAATGTCAGTCTTTTGCAATGCTCTCAACACATAGAGCAGTAAATAAAATTTTCATATAGTTTGGAATAAATGACAGATGTAGTACATATTTACTACATTCTCAATTCTGCAATTAAAGGCTGACATTAAAATATTTTCCTCTGTTTTTCATGGGCCTGTTGTTAAAAGCATGACTGCTCTGGCAGAAAGTTTGTGTTTGGAAAGGCTTTTATTCCTTTTTCATTCCTTTTGTCCTGCTGTGTGACTCCATGCTGCAGCATGCCCTGAAGAGCTCGGTGGCATCTCACAGCAATCCTTGTGTCTCACCCACACCTGTGAGGACATTCCCACTGAGTTCACCACCCTTCAAACCAGAGCTGCACGTGGGATTTAGCTTTAGAGCCAATTCACCTCTCCATTTCCAGGCAAGCAGGAGCAGGCAATGCTGTCATATTCCACTTCCACAAAACTATGGGTAGAGGGACTGGATGAGTTTCAGCTTAGGAAATACAAATTCACAGACTGTACAACTGCCAGCATCATCTCACAGACACGCAGCAAGGGGAAATTCAATTAATCTGATGTTTGTTTTTCTTTAACATTCTATTAAAGCATAGCAGCTCCATAATGAGATTACTGCATTTTATCTCTTAATTGTATCCAGATATGGAAAAGAGATTTACTGCTAGTGGCTTGTATATAGTACAATATTTTAAAGCTAATTATGATAGAGCATTACTATTGTCACACAATGAAATACTTATTCTTATGTTATGAATCAATACCATTTTCTAAAATTTATTGCAACTACATTTTTAATTGGATATACCCTGCTAAATTCTGAAACAGACAGTTATATAATTATTTTAAATCCAGGATGATATCAGCATAAAATATTTCAATTAAAAAGTTTGCAAAAAAGGAGAAAAAGTAACATTAAATAGCTTTCCATTATTAAAGTCAGCTGAAAGTCAAGTCTTGAAAGCATTCAAGTTTTTATTTTTTAACTGCCATTGTCCATAGAAGCATGGATACACATCCTCCCCACATGGTGTATTAATAGTTTGATTGTTCATTGAAGGCTATGAAGCACCTGACTTTTGTTTCTATTACTCCACACAGAGAGGAAATCATATTACAGTATTTATCTTCCTAAATCCCCAGGGTCTAAAACCTCTACAAGTATTTTCTTTGCTTATGGATGAAATACAGTAAACAATTTAAAAGTTACGCAACGAGTTTTAAAATAACATTTTATCCCAGTTTCTTCTTCAAAAATATAGGTGAGTAGTATAGGTGGTGAAAACCCCTGCTTGATCTGCCAATTGTAATTACTCAACAATTTTTAAAAACAGTGTCCTTATGTGATGAGACCCTGGTCACACAGGGCACCAATGCAAAATAAAATTCAAGTATTTATAGGCTGGTGTTGCAATTACCTGTAACACTTCGTACACATTCCAAGGTACATCTTTAAGCTTGGTTTTCCTGCACACATATTCACAACAACGACAGCTGAAGTCTTGACCACAAGCTGATCACAGCAGGTCTGCAAATCTTACCTGGGTATGAGACCTCCTCCCCCTCTCCACTCAGTGGCAAAGGCACAAGGAAAAAGCATTTGTTTCCCTCAGCAGAACCAAGCAGCAGTTTAAAACCCGCCCGAGCTCCAGCCATCCCCATGAGCATTGTTTTTAGCACTCACATCTGTATTTCATGTATTTACACATCCAACCCACATTATATTTACACTATGGTAAATTAAACCAGTTACATTTTGGTGAGGTAAAATGAATCAGAACTTAGAGATGAGGTAAACCATAATATCAAGTATTTAGAAACATCTTACTTTTTATTAAGTTACTGAAAGGATTTAACTGCATATTATATTTCCAGTATGCTGATGGAAGTTGTTCACTATTGAAGCTGATTCTGCACTTGATGACATATTATCCAAGTAATTTAATGAATAAATATTGCAGAATGCAATATCTGAGCCTATCAAGAGATTTCATTTAACCAGCAGCTCACCACTAAGGAAAAACCCCACAGTATTCCTTACGTTTTTTTCAAGAATATATACATTGAGCCAACTCAGGATCATCCTTCAGTATCATTTTGTAATAAATAAATGTTTATGTTAACACTTAGCATACTCTTTTAGGTCATCAATTTTCTGTTTATCTGAAGGACCCACATCATCTAGGAAGGCTCTTCAGCATTCCTGTGATTCAGATTTCACTGCAAACATTATTCATTTTACATTTAAGTCTTTTATCTGCATGCCAAATGTTAAATTATATTGGGTTACTGGCCATATTATTCTATTTTTACTGCAGCTCTTCACAAACTAAGATTCAAATCCTTTGAATTTAGTAGGATTTTGACAGCAATTCAAGCAGTGTTAAGTCTTAGCTCTGTCCACCTAATTGTGACTTAGGAATTTCTAAGCTCTCCAAGCTGTATTTACCTGCTGTGTGCATCCTGTCCCCAGATCCTTGGCAGCCATCCTCATCATCACAGTCTCCACTTGACTCCATCTCCTCACTCCTTCCAGCCCCACTGCCAGCATCTCGGGCACCCCATCTCTCCAGCTTCATCTTTGCCTTCTCAGCATCCAGCTGCAATGGAAGAAGTGACAAACCAACCATGGTCAGACTATTCACACGGTTCCTACCCCTGGCACCCCCCTGGTTTATGCAACAAGCACTTTCTCACGTATTTTCAGGAGCAGCTCCTCAAACTGGAGGCTGTTTCTGGCAATGGCATTCAAATATTCTGGAATAACAGAGTATGCAACCAAATGTTCTGCACCATAGATGACCAGGAGCACTTATCAAACTTTTAATTGAAAATATCACATCTACCATTACTACCACAGTGCTGTTCCTACATCTGGGGAGTCTTTGCTTCTTTTCTGCCAGGGTTGGGATTAAATGTGTGAGATGGAATTTCTTGTTGGGACTCAGATGTTTATTAGCTCGTATCTATGTCACAGTCTCACAAACTGTCAGTTCTGCAGCACTTCACTCTAACAAACTAAAAATGGAGTTGTATCTCTCGCTCTACAAAGCCTTTTAAGGACAAACTGTTCAATTAAGAAATTACACCTAAATTATTTTTACTTTTAACCCAATAACCAACCACCCGTGCCCGCAATGTGGACTTTTTTATCCAATTGCACAAGACCACCCAAACCCACGGAGAAGAAGGTGAAGAAGAAGGTGAAGAAGAAGGTGAAGAAGGTGAAGAAGAAGGTGAAGAAGAAGGAGCAGCCTCTACCCTAAAACCTCCGTCTTGCTTTATATATATTACTATATCCTAAAGCCTTAAACTCTTAAGTTTCCACCGTGTGATATCACACACTTATATTCAAACTCCACATCCACAATCCCAGTTCTATCATTCCATTTTGGAAGCTTCTCCACAGCCTCAGGTCAATGCAGTGTTCTCCTGGGGGTCAGTGCCTGTCAGCACAGAAAGTCTGAAATTCTCATCAGCCAGGGTTCCAACATACAGCTTTTCCTTTGCCAAGCACAGTTTGGGGAACACTTGTTAACGATGGAACAATCTGCCAGCTGTCCAAGAACTTGTTTTGAGGGATTTACAGTTGAAGACCATGACAAACTTCAGAGCTGAGAGCATTTGCTACTTTTCATGATGGGCTTGGTCACTTGGAAACCTTGCCCCTGGATATGACTTTTAAGATGCTGCCATTTAAGATGCCTATTCCAACTGCAAGTTGTTAATTAGATTTCACTTGAAATATTTCCAGGACTGAGCAGAGAATAAGAAAACCTTTTCTAAAATAAATCTAAATCTATCACACCAGGTCATGTTTGCTCTAACAACATATTTACTCCCCAACACTCAACTTTTTGATGTTTAGCTAACTCTTTCTCTTGCTGTCACCATGAACAGCTGCCTACTAGCAGCACTGTTCAAATAAATGATTTTTCATCTCACTGGTAGTTCCAAAAGATGAAAAATCCCATTTCCTTGGGAGTGAATCTGAACCCAGTCTGTGCAGGTCACACCAAGAGCAGCACTACCTGGAGGAAAGCGCAAAACCAAACCCAAATGGCTTAGACTAATAAATTGTGTTATAAGGCAAATATTCATCAAGAAGGATGGTCCAGGAGAAGCCTGAACCTTTCCCCCACACCTGAGGAGCACTGACCAAATGGGAAGACTGTACTGCTCTCAAAGCCTCTGCACTGCTGCCAGACTGGATCTATCCAAAACCCTTCAGCACAAGTATCTTCCTCCCAAAGTACTCCAGACCCATTTCAGGCTTTGTGATCTGCTCCATCCCAGAGGACTGATTATTCTTGGAACTGAGCAAAATGTACTTTGGAATGTAACACTTTGGAGATTCAAACACTACAAAGGAGCTGTTCTGGGAGCTGTGGGTGAACTGGAGCACAGGGCTAATACAACTGTATTAACTGGGCTGAAAGGATGGTGATGGATGCAGCAGTTTCTCTCTAGTGGGAACCTTTGTGTCACAGTCTCCTTCTTCTTCAGGGTCTGGAGCTGCCATCCTCCACTCCAGGGCTGACAAATTCTTGGAGCAAAGATCTGTGGAACAACAGATGCCAACTTCTACAAGGCAGAACTCAGCAAATTCTGCACACTCTCACTGAAAAGCTCAGTTTGCTCCTTCTGAAGACACAAATAACTGCACAGTGCAGTGGGAAGGTCAGTAAGTGGGAGCAGGGGCATGGACTCGAGTGGGGAAACATGCTGAACACTCTCTAATTGTTCCTTCATGTCTGGTTTTTATAAACAAGTTGCTTAATGTTGAGCCTTGGTATTCACAGCCATAAAGACTGATGTCACGGCAATACAAAACAACATTTTGTTAAACAATTGGAAAAATTTGCCTATGAGGGAGAAAGATAACTCAGTTCTTTCACAAATTTATTGTGTCCTGGTCATATTAGAAAAGACTCATCCATTCTCAGTTATAATCCTTCAGAATGAAAAGAATGGCTAAGTGGCAAACAGAACAGACACAGATTTAATAAAGGCTTTTAATGACTGTTTGTAAGTCAGAGCAGAAATGTTTACTGCCTATTAAGGCACTTCTCCTTTGCAAGGATCTGATTTCATTCATTGCTCATGGCTCAAATCCTGCCCTCTGCTCAAAACAAGCAATACTTGAACCAAACAGGCCCCAGCTCCAAGGAGGAAGCTGAGCTTTCCAGCATGGTGCACTGCAGCATTTCTGGTTCTGGTGCCTTCACTGCAGCAAGAGAGGAGCTGGAGCTGCATCTCCTCTGCATCTCTGAAGGTGCATCCAGCCCTTTCTTGGCTGGTCAGTAGAGAGGGGCCACCAGATGACCCAGAGCCCTGATATCCAGGATTACCATTATCACTTCACATCAACTCAGGTGCGACCTACAGACCCTTTGCACCCTGAATACCCTTTCACAGCCTCTTCACAACAGGGCTTTTATGTCCTGTGGTTACCACTCCCCTAGAATGATGGACCAGAGCCTGACTTTGTGCATCAGTAATGCTTTATCTACAAAGAAACTCATTCCAGGAGATGGGATAGTGTAGCCTCTTCAGTGAGGAGCTCCAGACACACTGAGCATCCCTGTTGAGAAGGCAATGTCACCTTTTCACAGTGACTTGTGACACAGCATCCTTCTCTTTTCCACATTCTGAAGGCAAAGCTCTCCTTTGTCATTCTCTTTTCCACATTCTGAAGGCACAGCTCTCCTTTGGCTACTGCCACAGGACTCCAGTGAGATCAGTATTTCAGATTAATAGCAAAACTTATGGCAGCATGTCCCAATCTCCCAATCGCCTTTTTTTTTTTTTTTTTTTTTTTTTCCACAGAATGAAACCTGTCTCAGAGGCCTAAGACTGCACCCTGGAGGTGTTTAAAAAAAGCCTGGACGTGTCATTCAGTGCCGTGGTTCAGCTGATGAGGTGTTAGGGTATAGGTTGGACTAGATGACCTTAAAGGTTTTTCCAACCATGATAATTCTGTGATTCTGTGATAACAGCACCAACTGCATTGGGATGGACTGGGAGCTTTAGAAGACCATAATGGAAGACACTAACCATCACTTTTCCCTCTCTGGTCCCAGGGGTTGGGTGTGGGCAGGTAATGGCTGCTGTGCTCTGTGCCTGTGGGACTGCAAGGTCCCCAGCAGAGGAGCTGGAGGTCACCTGAACATTCAGATCATCTTCAGAGACAGCCTGGCAGACACAGGTCTCTTAAAAACCTTGAACAATTCTCCAGGCTGCTGCCCCCAAGCACAAATCCTCCTGCTTCCCCAGATGGCTGTAGGGAGAACCAGAGTGCCTTGCCCCTATTTAACACTGGGGAGCAGAGATGGGAGTCAGACATGGCTTTTCTATCATTGCTTAAGAGCCACTCTTAAAAGGTATTATTTTGGTGGCTCTTTCCCTGCTATCCAAATGATGCCATCCAGCCACTCTGGCAACTCTGCACAGCAGCTCCTGCCTGGGGGTGTCCTGCTCTGGAGCTGAGAATTGATGCCTCAGTTAAATAATTGCAATGAATTTCAGGCTGGGCCCTGGAGCTGGTGCCTTTACCTTCACAATGCACAAGATACCTGCTGCCTAAGATTCCAAGGAATACTGGAATCTTAACAGCTTAAAAATTAAGTCTTCAAGTTTTTGCCGTATGTGAAAGATTATTTTTTTTTCCCCTCTTGAAAAGGTTATATAAATAGATCAATAAGATTTGTACAGTCCAATTGGAAACTGACTCAAATCAGGAATTTTCCCAACTGCAATAAGCTTTGGATAAGGTTCATAAACCTTTGAAGGGTTTCTGAGAAACTATATACTGTTTCTGTGGGGAAGTTTTAGTGACTGTATCTGACTCAGCTGAAGGGTAAAAAGCACATATTACTATTCAGCTCTGAGTCACACACAGATGACTCTCCTGCATGGATTTTATTTATTCCAGCAAAGGTCCCAACCTTAAGTGACATTAAAATAAAAAAACAACTTCTGCTGACATAAGGTTTTCTGCAGAAGAAAGAATTCGTATGAGAGTGGCTCCTGTCTTTCTCCCCTATTAATACTTCATGATGTAGCACACGCATTCCCAGTCACATAAAAGAGTCCTTCAGACTTCAGAGGCTTCAAAGAGCCCCTGACACACAACCCCTGAGCTCTCCACAGCCAGTCTAACCCTAATTCTCACTCTGAACACAGGTGTGACAGAATACAAACTCATTATCGTGTTTTTTATGAAGCCACGTTCCACCTGAATACATCCACACCTTAATTAAATAATAACTGCTTCACTCCATGAAAACCATTGTAAAAAAGGTGCCAATTTCTATCTGTTTCATTGATCAGTCTATTTGCATCATATATGCATATGTATGACTTCAAGCTGTAGGATAATAACCCCATTTTATCAGAAAATGGGTTTTAAAAATGATATTTTACACCAGTTTCAGATTTCTCAGGTCAGTGAACACAACAATGAAAATATTTTCTCTGAATAAAGCCACTTAAAAGTTGTGTGCTTGGAATATTCAGAGAGAAATTCCATAGAATAATCGTTCCTAGGGGATTTGTTAATTAGATTTCTACACGACAGATTGCACTGTGAATGCTTTTT